GGAGAGAGAAAGAGAGAGAGGGAGAGAGAAAAAACGATAACAAAAAACAGCAAACAAACACAAACAAGCGAGAGAGAGAGAGAGAGAGAAGAAAAGCGAAAGGAAGAACGAAAGAGAGAGCGCCCCCCACGGGCGCTTCAAATCGTCGTCCTGCAGCCACCAGCTAAACTTCCACGGCCACCTGACGATAGAAACGGCTCCGAGAGTCACCAGAAGAACTTCGAGACCCACCTGCCGAGCTACGAGAGTCACCAGCAGTTCGTCATCACCCTGGGGGCAGCTCGTCACCACCCTGTGAGCAGTTAGGTCCTCACTGGGTCTGCGTGTTCTTCCGCTCCGCTGGACCTCCCCGGAGCGCACGGAAGGGGCGACAGATGCGCAGTTCGCATTTTCCCAGTGAGCAGCGCAGGAGGAGGCAAGAGGGAGGAGGAGGAGTGGACGGAGGGGACACCACAGTGCTATGGTCAAACCGAGAAAACAAAACAGGAGGGTTGGGAGACATCTCCGAGGTCATGGTTGTGTTATCCGCCGCGCCCGTACTCGTCGCGCGGCCCCACCTTCCGCGAGTTTCGGACTGCGCGTCGTCGCTGGCGTGTGAGTGGTGTACCGAAATGCGAAGGGCTGAGGCAGGGATGGGAGGGGTGAATAGGATAGCGGGAGGGAGTGACGGCGCGTGTTCTCTTTTACAAGGAAGACCCCAAAAAGATGGTGGGGAAATATTGTAGCGGCCTCCTGCAAGTGCCGCCGATCCGGGGTGCTACCGATTCTCCTTGCAACGGATGACTTCTTATGTTTCAAAATAGAGCACTCGTTCGAGACATCCTCATAGGATAGAGATGTTGAACTCGATTCGATCGGCAACCTCCGGATATTCGAACGTGACGATCTCGCGTGACCAGCCAAACTCATGGGATGTCCCCTCCCGCCTTCCCGGCCTGAATGGCGTCAGCCATGGCGTCAGCCCCCGCCCCCCCGACTCCCCCGCCCCGGGCGTGAATGGCGTCAGCCATGGCGTCGGCCCTCCCCCCCCTCTCCTCTCCCGGGCTTTCAATTGCGTCAGCCATGGCGTCAGCCCCCCCCCCCCGACGACAGAGTGAAGCTTGAGCGAGCTCCCCCGTCCCTCACCCCCGGACCTGAATGGCGTCAGCCATGGCGTCAGCTTTCCCCCCTTTTCCCCGACTCCTCCCTCGCGGGCCTGAATGGCGTCAGCCATGGCGTCACGCCCCGCCCTCCCCCCTCCCCCCTCCTGGGCCTGAATGGCGTCAGCTATGGCGTCAGCCGCCTGCCCCCCTACAGAGCGAAGCTTGAGCGAGCTCCCCCCCCCCATCCCCCCTCCCGGGTCTGAATGGCGTCGGCCGTGGCGTCAGCTCCCCCCCCCCCCGGGCCTCCCCCCCCCCCCGGCAGAGCGAAGCCCCCCCCGTTCTCCCTCCCAGGCCTGAATGGCGTCAGCACCCTCTCCCGGGCCGGGCCTGAATGGCATTGGCCCCCCCCCCCCCCCTTCCCTCCCGGGCCTGAATGGCGTCGGCGCCCCACCCCCCTCACCCCTCCCGGGCCTGAATGGAGTCAGCCCACCCCCCGCCCGACAGAGCGAAGCCCCTCCCTCTTTCCTTCCAGGCCTGAATGGCGTCGCCCACCCCCCCCCCCCCTCCTCCCTCCCGGGCCTGAATGGCGTCGGCGCCCCCACCCCCCTCCTCCCGGCCGGGCCTGAATGGCGTCAGCCCTTCCCCCCCCCGATAGAGCGAAGCGGCCTGAATGGCGTCAGCCCCCCACCCTCTCCTCCCTCCTGGGCCTGAATGGCGTCAGCCCCCCGACAGAGCGAAGCCCCCCCCTTTCTTCACCCCGGGCCTGAATGGCGTCAGCCCCCACCCCTCTTTCCTCCCGGGCCTTGATGGCGTCAGCGCCCCCCCCCCTCCCTCCCAGGCCTGAATGGCGTCAGCTCTCCTCCCTCCGGGGCCTGAATTGCGTCAGCCCCCCCCCCGACAGAGCGAAGCTTGAGCGAGCTCAAGCCCACGCTCTCAGAAACTCACACGCAGGATCAGCGGACTTGGGTCTACCCAAGGAGATTACAGTGTTTGGCCAGAGGTGCCCGGCATCCATGCCCTGCCCAGGACCGAGCCAATTAGTTTCACTTGCCAGCTGTAGCAGTTTGGAAGTCCAGAGCTCTTTGCATCTTCACCCTGAGTCCTCCTCGTGACCCCGTACTGATTTCAGTGGAGACCCATGCCAAGAAACACCCTGCTTGCCTCCAGGGCGCCGTGGGTTTCTTGGCTTTCGATGGTTCTGCTATGGAACGCGTAATGTTCCCACACCAGAGATCGGTTGGCGTCCTGGGGTCTCAGGCTCGGTTTCCTGTGCAAGGTTTCTTGTGGTCGAGCTCCTACTGTAACCGCTTTCCGGACCTCGAGCGTCCACTCCGCCCCGCGAAGCAGAACCACGGTATTTTGAGCATTGGATGCTGGAATGTTCCAGTCGCGACCGACGAGATCGCTCGCTATCCATTTTGCATCGAAGTTCGGTATCCATCGCGACCGATTTGCTTCAAAATCGGTCGCGAACGATCGGTCGCGACCAATCAGTCGCGATCGGTGGCGACCGGTCGCGACCGATTTGGGGATCGGTCTCGATCGGTCGCGATCGATTTGGAGTGTCACGTTCGCTCAAGCTCGACTCAAGTCAACGGACGTTCGGCGCAGCATCGACGCAGCAGAGGAGCGATTGTCATGAGAGGAAAAAGCACAGACACAAATGATCGCCGATCCCTCGGATATGATGGGGACATATGGGAAGTGGGGGGAAGACGAAGCCCCAGAACATGTGCAGAAATATATTTGGAATCCTGGGTTTTGTGTCTACGCATTTGTGTGACGCTGGGCCCCCGTAGACTGGCTCCAGGAAGGCCTCAGGAGCGAGCACCTGACTGGCCCGTCGAAGTATACTTGGAATCCTGGGATTCGTGCCTACTTCTTTGTGTGTCCCCGGGCCCCCTCGGAATCGCTCCAGGAGGGCCTCGGGAGCGACCGCCCTGACCGGGCCGCCGCAGCCGCCCCCTCCCCTGCGCCCTCCGAGAGTCAGGAGGGAAAGAAACACACAGACACAATGAATCGTCGATTCCCTAGAAAAAATGGGAAAATATGGGAAGTGGGGGGGAAGACAAAAACCCAGAAAACTTTAGAACATGTGGGGAATCCTGATATCTGTGCGTATTTATTTGTGTGTGTCCCAGGGCCCCTTCAGAGAGGGCCGCCGCGCTCGCCCCCGCCCCTTCGCGCCTCTCCGAGGGCGGGTGCCCCGATTCGATTCGACTTCAGATTCCGATGTGGGCAAAGGGTCGACGTGGCTTCCCAAGGCCCCTGCATCCTTGCATCCTTCCCCTGCGGCCCATCATCGGCCGCTTTCGCTGGCCGCGTCCCGCTCGCAAAGGGTCGACGTGGCTTCCCAAGGCCCCTGCATCCTTGCAGGGCTCGTCTCGATTCCTCCGTTTCGATTCGATTCGACTTAAGATCCCGATATGGGCAGGGGTCGACGTGGCTTCCCAAGGCCCGTGCATACTTGCAGGGCTCGTCTCGATTCCTCCGGTTCGATTCGATTCGACCTCGAAGGCTTCCGATTCCGATTCGATCCGATGTGGGATTTTCCGATGTGGGCTCCGATTCCTCCATGGAGGCCTACCTGCCTGCCGATTTCCGCCGATTCGATGTTTCCCAACTCGGCTGCCGATGTCCGCCGATCCGATTCATTTCGATCGTCGATCCAACTTGTCGATTTGATTCTGGGCTCTCCCTGGGCTTCGCAGGAGCCCTCGCGCCTTCTGAGAAGTGCTCTGCGTCTTCGGGGCAGGCTCAGAAAGCTCGTCAGAAGGCCCGGGGGCTGCCGAGCCTTCTGAGAAGGCCCGCCCCTTTCTCACTTCCCCTCCGGACTCGCCGTCGACTCTCCGACGTCGTGGCTGTCTCGAGTGCCTGCGCTTGCGAGCAAGAGTAGGGGGCGCCTGGCGAATTGATCCACCCCAAAAATTCACAGGAGGGGAAGGTAAACCCATTCTGCTGTCCTCCTCATCGTCGTCCTCCTCCCTGCTCTTCGTCGTCCTCGTCGTCGTGGGTCATACGGTCCTTGCTGGAAGCGCTTCAGGATCAGCACCAGTTAGCAGGCGCTTTTAACTGGACTGATTGGAAATTTGGCCACATTGGCCACACATTATCCACACGTTAGCCTGGGCCTGCCACGTTGCGGCACATTTTTTTTAGGCAGGCCTCGGCTGTTTTCCAACATTGCACTTGCCAGTACAATGCTGACTGAATGCTACTCGGCGTTGCACGGACTCCACTTGTTGATGTGAGGTGTCGTTGAATCGTGGAACATTCAATGTTGCAATCAATTCCATAGTTCAGTCAGGGCCATGGCGCTCCGTACTGGAGTCTTTTTCCTCGCAAGGAGTACGGCGCCGTGCAGTATTTGGTGTTGGCTTTGGTTTTAAAGGAAGTTGCAGGATCATGGTTTATGGGTGCGCTCGGATTGATGGAGAGCGTGTGTGTGTGTGTGTGTGGCATTGTCCATCGAACAAGGGGACTGCTTTCGTTAATCCAAACGAGTTGAGTGATCGAAAGCGGAGATGACGGTCGAGCAAGCCTTTCTTATTGATGTTCCTCGCGATCGATCTAGCTCTTCTGGTAACCATGTTTGTTCCTGTCGTGAGCGGATCTTACCTTCGATCATGCTTATCTTGGTTTCCAAAGAGTTCCCTCAGAGCCCCCTTGAGCGACACTGACACCCCAGCCCAATGAAGGTCCGAGAGACTTCCAACCCTCCCACGAGGCCCAGAGAGGCCTCCCCAAGAGGGCCCGGGGAAGGCCCAAGGGGCGTCCGAGTATCTTGACCCAAGGGGCTGGTAGAGTCCCCCAAGAGGATCAGCTTTCAGCGATGTTGGCTCAGGCCCGCGACCCGCGACGCCCGTAGCCCATCAAATCCCCGTACGCAAGATGTTGTCCCGCTCGGCCTCTCGAGCCATGGTGGGCGCTGCGAGGGCAGCGCCGGTCGGCCAGGCTGCGAGCCGCCGGGTGAACCTGTTTCGCCCACTGGCGGCCCCGCAGGCACGTTTCTTGATGCCGATCAACAACAACATGATTGACTCTGACTTTAATCCTCCCAGCTCCGAGAAGCCGATGTACCTGAACGAGTTCATCAACCAGTCTCCCGCGCAGCACCAGGAGGACATGAAGAACGCGAAGCGCCAGCCGGTCGTTCACGACACGAAGGACCTGATCCGCTCGCACGCGGCAGACCCGCACAACAAGTACGGCATGGCGGAGTGGGTGCACGTGCACTACGACATCACCCGCGAGCCCACCTTCCCCCGCAAGCCTGACCTGTCCAAGGGCGAGCTGGCCGCTGGCGCCACGGTCACGCGCACGGACGTCTGGCACGACCCGAAGGAGCCCGCGATCACTTCCGTCGCCAAGTTCTCGCCCGAGAACTTCCGCCCAGTCGGCTGGGCCGAGAACGCCCCGCAGCCGACGACCACCTGCCCCGAGGGCACGCTGGACTTCAGGGCCAACCGCCTGCCCATCGGCCACGCCGACCGCCGCCCCTTCGTCTACTTCCTCGCGGCGACTTCTGGCTTTGTGATGATGTCCATCACCCGCGCCGTCGTGTGCAAGCTCCTGCACGGCATGTGGCCAGCCATGGATGTGTTCGCCGCCGGCGTCGTCGAGGTCGACCTCCGCCCGGTGCGGCTGGGCCAGAATTTCGTGGTCAAGTGGCGCAACAAGCCAGTCTTCATCCGCAAGCGGACTCAGGCCATGATCGACTCGGCGACCAAGGACGACTGCCTCGCGCCCTCCATGCGCGAGCCAGCCACGGACGCGCAGCGCTGCAAGAAGTCCGAGTGGCTCATCTGCATCGGCGTCTGCACCCACCTGGGGTGCATCCCGCAGCCGGATGCCGGCAACTATGGGGGATATTTCTGCCCTTGCCATGGCTCCCACTACGACCACGCGGGGCGTATCCGCCAGGGGCCAGCGCCGAAGAACTTGGAGGTGCCGCCGCATAGCTTCATCGATGAGTTCACCGTGAAGCTCGGGTGAGTTCACCGACAACCTCGCCCGTGGTCGCCGTGGCGGGGGGGAGGGCGCTGACGCTGGGAGAAAGGAGGGGGAGAGGGGAGGGAAGGACGAGAGGGAGCCCCAGTGGCCCTCAACCTGCCGGTCCTCTGGCGTGGAATGCCCTGTCAGCCTTCGACCTGTCGGGTGCCTATGCTGCGCCGTTCCGCCTCCGCGCCGGCGGTCCCTCGATCCAGCGCGCGTCGGGCGGACGGTACTGAGGGGTGGCCCAAACTGGGGGTGAAGAGAAGGGCCCCAAAGGGACCCTGCAGGGCCCCTTCTGGCTCCAAAAGGTGCCCTCAAGGATCCCTTTGGGGCCCTCTTCTGCACCCCCCCATTAAGGTTTCCCTCTGCAGTCAACCTGCATGGTAGGGATGGGCAGCCTTCCCAAGGGTACCCCTTGCATCCGTGCCTCCTCGGTCCATCCCTGACCACTGTCGTTGGCCGCGCCCCGCTCGAGGAGCTTCAAACATTGGCGTCCCAGGCCCTTGCACCCTTCTCGCGCATCCTCATGATGCGGGCCGACTGTATTGCCACCCGCCTGGGCGCATCTCTTCGGTCCCCTTCCCCATCCAAAGCCCGCGGGCCGTCCCGCCGACCCGGCGGCAGGGCTCGCTCTCAGCCCTTGGCGCCCGCGTAGGGTCCGCAGCGGCCGCGATGCTCTCGGTTGTGCCTCAGGAAGAGACTGATGGAGAGGGGGAGGGAGGGAGAGAGAGAGAGAGGAAGAGAGAGAGAGAGAGAACGAAAGAGGACGAGAGGGAGAGAGTGCGAGAGAAACAGTAAGCGCGAGAAAGAGAGTGAGGTCGCGAGAATGAGAGAGACAGAGAGAGTACACAACAAAGAGCGAACGAGAGAAAGCCATATATATTCAGAGAGAGAGAGAGAGAGTGAGAGAGAGAGAGAGAGAACGAGAGACAGAGCGAGATTAAGAGAGAGAGGGAGGGCGAGAGGCAGTGAGAAAGACAGAGAGAGAGAGAGAGAGGGAGAGAGATCCCCAAGCGGGGCCAAGAGGCGCTTGTCTCATGGCCATCACAGGTCGGTGGATGGCATCAGGAGACCCCGAGACGCTCAAGTCACCGAGCGCATTCCACTACTGCACTCTACGTCTGGAAAACACATGTTAGCCTCGGAACCAGGCCATTTGCGAGTAGTGTTGTTTGAGTAGTGGAGCGCGCTTGTCTATCAGAGGCAGCCCCAGCACTGCGTGCAAAAGGGATGTCCATAGAAATGCGTCCACAATCGCTCGCGCACGTGGAATCGCACGCGCACGCGCACATGTAGTGACCCCCGCACACATGCACGCACGCTGTCCTCCTCCAACGCGCTGGCAAAAGCAGTCAGCCGGGCGCCTGTCCGTGAGCAACGGCCCACAGGCGGAGGATGACCAACTCGATCAAGACTTCGACATGCCCACAGTCATCAAGGTGAAGCCCGATGACCAACTGGCCCTGGGCTCGGCTGGGCCTGGGGCCGCGGTCGGTAAGTTCACCTCCGATCGCCGAGCAGGCTAATGTCGCTACTAGGGATCAATGTCGGATCCGATCGGTCGGCTGACGTCGTTCCTCTGTCGTGGTATCCAGCCCGATCTGTCGAGTCGGCCCGATCGGATTGGCGGTTCCGAGGAGCTGACCCCAGAGGAGCTGGAGAAGGAGGTGGCCGCGCTGTGCACCATGATGAGACATCCTCCATATAGGGGGGGGGGACGCTGAACAACAGACAGCGAGCACTTTCGCCCTCCGTGAACCGTTATGAGGAGCAAGTCTATTCGGTGTTCCCATACAGTTAACCCGCATGATGAGGATGAGCAACCTTTCCAAGGTTACCCTTGCATGCTTCCCCTGCGGCCCATCCTTGGCCGCTTTCGCTGGCCGCGCCCGCTCGCAAAGGGTCGACGTGGCTTTCCAAGGCCCTTGCATCCTTACAGGGCTCGTTTCGATCTCTCCGATTCGATTCGATTCGACTTCGAAGGATTCCGATTCCGATTAGATTCGATGTGGGATTCCGATTCGGGCTTCGATTTTTCTCATTAACGGCTTACTAGCCTCCCGATTTCCGCCTGTTGGATTTTTCCCCGACTGGGCTGCCGATTTCCGCCGATCCGACTCATTTCGATCGCCGATCCGGTTTATCGATATGATTCTGGGCGCTCCTGTCCTTATCGTGCATCCTTCTGATGTGTATTGACTTATTGACTGCATCTCCCCACCTGTTAGGGTGCATATCTCTCCCGGTAGGCTCGTGGAGCTTCAGGACTGCTTACCGTGTTTGTTCGCCGAGCTCCCCTCCCACGGTTCTCCCCGGCCAGAGCTGCGCTTCCGTGTTGCGAGGTGACCACGCTCCTCCGACGCCGCATGTTTTACTTGTCGCGGGCCTCGGGGATCGACGCCTTTCCCCGAAGAAGACAGACGATTTAACATAAACTTCCGAAGCTCCGCGCGGATTTCTTGGATCGGCGTTGGGCACACATGGCGGCGCCTCTGGCACCGCCCATGGCGCGCTCCGCGCGCCAGTGAGGGGGGTCCAGCGCAGATCCAAGAAATCAGCGCGGAGCGCCAAGCGTTGATGTTTATGTAGTTGTTGTTCCTCCATTCCCAGGGCCAGTTATCATCCCGAGTGTGTTTCTCTTGCTAGCCTCCGGACGCCATCGAAAGGGAGCGGCTGTCCTTCTGTTTCTTCGACCCCCTGAAGAGCTCATGTTGTTTGTTTGTGTGGTTGTGTTTGAAGTGCGCTTGCGCGTCGCGAAGGAGTTGCCTGCATTTCGGTCCCTGGGGGCCAGCCGGGGGGCGGGATGTCAGCCAGGGGTCGACCGAAACGGTGTTTTGGCGATTTCGTGGGCCGTTTTCGTTTCGATTATGTTTTGCAGCAAAGGCGGACTGAAGACAAAACGATGGACAACGAAAACATTACGAAAACGGAAAACATTGTTTAGGTCGAGCCCTGATGTCAGCCCAGGTGCTGCAGGGCCTCGGTGTGGGGGGGGTGAGGCTTGCGTCATCCAGCTCGCCGTCCTCGGCCGATGACAGCCAACACTGACCTCCTCCTCCTCCTCCTCCTCCTCCTCCTTCTCCTCCTCCTCCTCCTCACCCCGACCATGGCCAGGCCCATCTTGGGCCCGAGATCGAGCCGTCTGGGCCAGGCCAGCAAGACGTCCACACTGATCCTGGGCCTGGGATTGGCCTGGCGCAGATTGGTGGCTGCAACTCCTGGGAGGTGAAATTCTGAATCGGCGCTGGGCAAATCAGTCCCACTTAGTCTGGAGTAATCCTCGGCTCAGTCTGGTCAAATCGGGCTCAATGGTTTTTCAACCGGCCTTCATAGCGTTCAATTGCTCTGGCGAAGACCTCTTAGGAGTTGCTTCCTAAGGCGTATACTATACGGATGGGGCATTCGTTCAGGAGTGTGCCCAGGAGGCTCCAGACCCTGGAGGATTCTTTACCTGATGAGGGTGCCCGTGATATCCACGGTCTATGGTCAAGCCTCAATGGGAGTTCCAGCAGCTCCCAGGCCCCAGATTCCGTGTACAATGGTTCCGTATCCAAAGGCTTCGCCGTACAGTCAGCACGATGAAGTAAGGACCGTTTTCGGCTGAGGGGGTGCTCTGTTTTTGCGGCCGTTCCTTAGATCTAGGTCGGCGAAACTGTTAGTGGCCTAGGCTCGCCGTGGCCAGTCAAGCTCCTTCGTTCCTCATTCAGCGTTCGAACTTAGTGCAGCACGATGGACGTAATCGCTCTGAGCCGGGCCTGGAGTCGGCTGCGAGCGAGGGGGGAAGAGAGAAGGAGAAGGCCTTCTCAGAAGGCCCCTTTCGCCGTTTGAGAAATGTTCTGTGTCTTCGGGGAAGGCTTCGAAAACTGCTCTGAATGCACGGGGCTTCCGAGCCTTTCGAGAAGGCCCGCCCCTTCTCATTTTCCCCCTTGCTCGCCCTCCATGGAAACTACAGCCAAGGCGCTGAACCAAGGACCATTTCAGGATCACGAAGGGCTCCGACGAGATGGGACGACCGCCTCCAAGGATTCGCCCGCGATGTCTTGCATAATGTATCTCGCTGGTATGACAGTGTACACGATTTTGACGAGGACGCATTCGTCGAGTATTGCATTCACGCGTGAGGACCGCCCCCGTTCTTTTCTTTCCTCCCCCCCTCCTCCCTCGGAGGCACAACGTTTGCTCTCCGTTTACGCACGTGTGCGCTCAGGCCACGGTGCTGGAGCCTCGCCCGTCTACGGGCCAACCCATGTAATTTGACCGGGCCTCTGTCTGTCTGTCTGTCCCTCACATCTAGAGGGGGGGACTTATTCGTCTTGGCCGAGGCTCGCCGAGGCCAGAGGAACAAGAAACCTCATTCCTGATTCGGGCCTCTTAGACTGGTACCACGATTGCGGTATAGGCCTCAAGATGGGGCCCGAGTAGATGGAGGCGGGGGATCGCACCGCATCGCCGATGCAGTGGCGATGCGGCGATGTGGAGGCATATTGTCTCGACGCCGACGTCGCCGATGTATCGCCGGACTGTCGCCAATACATTACCGATAAGTCGGCGATGTATCGGCGATTCGGTCGGCGCTTCAGCATGGACCGACCCTCCAGGCATTCCGGAAGTTCTTAGAGCAAGCATACACTACAATTGGAAGCATATGTCTTATATCATGAAGCCGCTGGAGTAAAACAGTACCGTCTCAGCCAGAAATGTTCTAGGCCCGACTGTAGGACTGACCCTTCGCCGGAGTGGCCTCTGGTGCGTGCCCGATGGAGCCCCCCGAGTGTGGAGCGCGAAGTGTTAGCAGCGGCCTGCAAACGCTCGGGCTTGGCCCCCCCGACTCCCCCGCTGCGCCGCGCACCGGAGGTCACTCTGTCGTGGTGTAGCCGATGACCAGTTGGCCTCGGGGAGTGGGTGAATCTAGGCCTCCCAGATGGGGTCGGAGTAGATGGGGCCGGAGGATCCCGCCGCATTGCCCATGCATCGGCGATGCGGCTCGATGAGGGGTCCGA